TTTGTTTTTAATACTAATAGGCTATAATGGACAAGGCGTTGAACCAATGTAAAGGATATGGTTTTGTCGACTTCGAAAGTCGTGAAGCTGCCGCGCGTGCTGTGGAGATGCTGACAAAAAACGGAATCCAAGCACAAATGGCAAAAGTAAGAACACTTCTAATTTAAGTATCATAATTCATACCTGTAGTAGTGGTGTTGCTCATTAATGGTGTTCAGTCAACTGTGGTTTTTGTTTTGATCTCATCTTACTTTTAAGCAGCTTCAGCAACAAGAACAAGATCCAACAAACCTCTACATCGCTAATCTTCCTCCGAACTTCAATGAGCAAATGTTGGAGAGTGCACTAAGCCCGTACGGAATGGTAATTTCAACTCGAATCCTACGAAATGCAGATGGAAATTCGCGAGGTGTCGGATTTGCTAGGATGGATTCGAAGGTGAGTTGAGAGCAAGAAAAATGTAGATTAAGGCAACTCTATATTTCTTCAAGGAAAAATGTGAAGAGATCATAGCTGCGCTTAATGGAAAGCTAATCGAAGGAATGGATCCCAGTTCTACTCCGTTACTGGTAAAGCAAGCTGATACTGGAAGGAAGAATACTCGCAAGAGAAGCGATATGGGATTTGAACTGGGGATGTATCCTAGCCAGGTAATATCACTGTTAGTCTTATCACCTTTGCTTTTTTCGCTTCTTCAATGCATCATTTCAGCCATTCACCATGACAGCTCCTCATGATTATATGAGGAATATGGGTGGCATGCCGCAGATGTATCCTGCGCCTTATGTCAACTACAGCATGGGTTATCCCCAGCAAGTCCCTGGCTATTCGCGTATGTTAGGTCTTTTTTTAATCGCTTGAATCGGTTTATTTACTTTTATGTTCAGCCTATTTTTAAGAACCGTTTGCTTTTTTATCTCAGAGGAAGTAGCTATTCCTTATTTCAGCCCTTTTCTGTTTTAGCCTATGATGTCAACGCTATGACGAGTCAGATGGGTGGTATGCAGATTGGAGCAGGAGCTCCTCCATCTGCTCAGGATAACGGCCTTTATATGCTTCCACAGCAAGGTTACTACGTCAACAGAAAGGTGATTAATTGTTTTATTAACATTTGATATTAGTGAAGAAATTGCGGTTCAAATATAAGGACGAAGTATGTTTAGCAATACAGTGGTACTGGGCAGTATGATGTCATGCAGGGACCCTCTGGCAACGGAAATGCTCAAATGGCGGCAATGGGACATGGTGGGCAATATGTACAGCCTGTTGATGAGGATCCTTACAGAAAGATGAATGGTGGCCAAGTAAGCGCTTACTTTCCTAGCATCAATAAAGGAAGCATTTGTACTACATAGCGAAAAAATCTGTTTTTGAACTGAGCCTTCTTTATATATTTAGTTTATGTATTCCAAGTATTCAGCGCCGAAATGCTGTAGTAGTTGTTGGAATAGCTTTTAAAAAACTGTAGGAATTCTTGGAATTTACTACAAAAACTAACCGTTGCAATGAATTATACCTACGAAAATCCTTTTCAGGGTCAGCTCCAGTGATTGATTCTGGTCAGTGTGCGTTTTTCTCTTCCGATGGTCTCGTCGGTGTATTCGCACCTAGGAATTGATGAAATTGATTGTCAGCATTGTCGTGTTGTGGTCGACCTTCGAGTAGAGACTTGAATCAGCTCATATTTACCCATTTTGATAGCGGTCTTGTGCTAGAGCTTTTTCGCTCACTGCGTCGTTGTGTTTGTGTCCATATGTACGTGCTGCGCCACCTTCGTTTCTTCTCCTATACGCATATATATA